TCCCTAATAGAAACCCTTCATTAAATTAAGTAAGTTTTCTTCTATTTCAGGCTAAGCGCTTTTTTTTTTCAATGAGGAAGAAATTTTCATGTTCGATTATTATTAATTTGCCAGAAGGCATATGTATTCACCTGAAAGAGAGAGAGAGAGAGAGGGCAAGTGAGAAATCACCCTCCCTCCATGGGGGAATGGCCACACTGCAATCCTTTCTCCATGTCTCCCTCCTTTGGGGAGCTTAGGCATGCACACACATGCACCTGTGTGTTTCCCAGGCTGTTGAACCTTGTGGTTGGCCATGTGGGAGCCAGCCCTCTTAACCACCACACCATGGGCTGGCCTGGATTTTCATTTTCTGTACCTTTAAAGCATATTGGCATTTTAGAAGTGAGTGTGTGGAAAACCTGAGAAGAGAAGAAAGGCTGCAGCAGAGAAGCCTCTCAGCTGCAGGGTGATGAAGGCCAGAGATAAGGCGGTGATGGGAGAGACTTTTGAGACATCAGCTAGGCCTGGACTCTTACTTGATTAAAGGGGAAATTGGAGGGAGCTTGCAGAGGAGAGGCTGGCAGGCAGCTTTGGTGTTGCCATCTAGAACTCTTATTAAGTGGCTTTGAGTCTTTTGTAGCATATGAGGTTTTTGAAGTATCTCAGCTCAGACTTCCTGGAAGAGGCCATGATAGTAGTTGAAGTGGGTACTCATTAGAGGTCTCCCAGACCCAGGGAGAGTCAGCTGTGCAGGGAGCCGGGGGTAAAGGGGGAGAGCTGTATGGAGCTGAGAAGAGGCTCACTCTGCTAGTTGAAAGCCACCCTCAGACTTGTATCTGCTTCCAGATTCAAGTCTGGATAGTCAGTCATTCGTGATGGTGCCTCCCAGTGATGGATTGAAGGCCAGCCTGGAAACTCTGACAAGCAAATGCCTCCATGGAAAGAACTACTGCCGACAGGTCCTCTGTCTGTATGAACTTGCCAAGGTACATGCTAAAGCATGGGCCGCCACAGGAAGCCCTTTCTGAAAAGGGAGGGAAGTAGGAGGTTGGAGGTAGACTGGACATTGCCAAGCCAGCCCTTCAGATGGTAGTCATGATCTGGGAGTGGAGCTTTTGTCAAGATGTGGCCCCTGCAAGTCCATTTTTAGAATGTCAGAAGGACACCAGGCCGAAGTGCCTAAACAATGTGAGACTTGGCTGCAGTTCAGCCAGCCAGAAACTAGTGTAAGACATTCTACTTCTGTGGGCCTCTAGTTCTTTATCTGAAAATGATTTGGCCACGAGCGTTCCTTCTAGCCCTACTGTTAGAAGCTTTGCTTTATGGGAACCAGCAGTTAGCGTAATGGCTATGTCACTGGACTCCCACGTAGTTGACCGCAGTTCACGTCCCAGACCCAGTGGCTTAAAACTCATGCCGGGCGCGTGTGCGTGCGTGCCCAGGATCTCAAGAGGAGAATGGAGGAGAAGGGATTGCGGCGTGACCATCCCCCCTGGGGGGTGATTTCTCGCTTTCTGTCTCTATGTCTTTCTCTGTGTGTCTGGCGAGCGCACGTACCCTATAGCGAAAACCTCTCGGGGAAAAAAAAAAAAGCAGCAGCTTTGCTTTATGATTTTTGGGAGCACTCCACATGGGATACAGTGACTAACGACAGGAGCCAGGACAGCTGGACATTGCCTGTGGCTTTGTATTGGTTGGGGAAGAAATAGCAGACTGGAAGTGGGAGAGCACGAGAAATAGAACTGAGCGTTAGAGCACTTTGCCTCGGAGAATTAGACTTCTTTGGAAATTGGGGGTTTGTCACTGCTGTGGGAACAAAAGCAGGGGCTCTGGCATTTCATTCAGCATTCTTAACATTTCATAATGTTTGAAAAGGTCAGTATTTTTCAACAAGAGGTGGCCCCTGGTGCTTTCTGAAGTGACATGCTTTCTTTTGCTTGGATTTAGCCAAGGGGAAATGATAGGGCAAGGAAGGGGTACTTGGTTCTTTTAAGGTTTTTGGTCAGGGTGAGGGATCTTGAAACTTAGGAAACCATGGGGTCTAGCCATCAGCCATCAAAGACTGTCTTTTGCTTTTCCTGTCTTCCAAAATAGACTTTGACTAACTTTGCCTTTCTCTCAGGAACTGGGCTGTTCCTACTCAGATGTGGCTGCCCAGGATGGTGAGGCCGTGCTTCGGGCAATCTTGGCCTCTCAGCAGCCCGACCGATGCAGACGAGCCCAGGCCTTCATTAGCACCCAAGGCCTCAAGCCAGAGACTGTGGCTGAACTTGTGGCTGAAGAGGTGACACAGGAGCTGCTGACCCCATCTGAGGGAACAGGTATCTTGCCTTCCAGTCCCCCAAACTCTTGACAGCATTCCTGGGTCCCCACTGTTAAGGATTTGGCCATTATGTTCATAGACATTTCTGTGTTGCTCTCTCAAGTTTCCAGATTATACTTGCAAGAAGGGAACACAAGTATTATTTATTTTGTTACTATTATTTTTAAAAAATATTTTACAGTTATGCAGAGTAGCTGAACCTTTCTCTGAGCTAAAGAACTCCCTTTGTCTTGGAAAGTAGAGTAAGGGGTTTAGGCTTAGCTTGGGAGGGCTGCAGGAGTTCCATTAACATTGCCTCCTGGTGCCCAAACCTGGGCACGTGGGCTTTCTGGCCTAGGGCCCTTGTTCTTCTCCCAGCTCTCTCGGGCAAAGCCAGTACCTGTCTCCACATCTTTCTGTACAGGACGTAAGCAGGTGTTCAACCCAGCAGAGGAAAGCCAGACATTTCTTCAGCTGACCACTCTGTGTCAAGATCGCACATTGGTAGGCATGAAGTTGCTGGATAAGATTTCCTCCGTTCCCCATGGGGAACTGTCTTGTAGTAAGTTCTTGGCCTTTTTCTTATACCTTTTGGGACTGAACGGGTCTCTGAGTTTCAAGTCACTTTCTCCAAAACTCGATTTGTGTCCTTGTTCCCACTCTGGATACCTAGTGCTGCAGTGTAGCTTATCAGTTTTGATAGAAAACCATAAAAACACTGAAAAAAAAATTGGAAAGTATGGAAAAGTACTCCCAACACTTATAATCACACAAAAAAAGTAACCTTTAATCACTTGACAAGCTTATTTTACACTTATATTACCATGGAAAGTGAATATTATTGTCATTTTAGGAGGAGGGAAACTGAACCATAGAAAAGTTAAATGTTTAACTGTTAAATGGAAAAGATCATATTTGAACCCAGCCTCTGATTTCAAAGCCTGTTTGTTTTCTACAATGTGTAGATCACTGTAGACACTAATAGTATGTGTATTTCTGATCTTTTTCTTTTTTAAAAAAGTTATTATTTTTTTATTATTATTTTGTTTGCTGTAGTGCACATGCATTCACCAGAGAGGCAGACAGAGAGAAAGAAAGAAGGAAAGTGAGAATGCAAGCCACCAGGTCCAGGATTTAGCCGTGGTCAGCCATGTTGGGAGTCCAGTGCCTTAACCACCGTACCACCTGCTGACCCATTTCTGATCTTTTTCTATACAAGAGTATAGGTTTCCTTTTTTCGATAATGGCATTATATGTGCATACTATGTATAAACTTTTTACTTTGTAAATATGTTGCCATATTTGTCATGACAATGAGTACTTTTCGCTATCATTTTTAATGGTTATACAGTATTTCTCTTACATGTAGTTAAAATATTTATACTGTTGGGGCTGGCAGGTGGTATGGTGATTAAGGTCGCTGGACTTCCACATGGTCTACTGTGGTTCGAGTCCCAGACCAGGCAGTTTGCTTTCTCTCTCACTCTCGCTCTGTCCCATTCTGGTCAAATAAAAGTAAATAAAGTTAAAATTATTATTTTTAAAAAGTATTTATACTATCACAGGACACTTAGATTCATTCCAGTTTTTGCAATTTTAAACACTGATGAACATCCTATGGGCAAATCTCTGTGCATATACATCATTATTTCCTTAAGATAAATTCCTGATTCAAAAGATAAGCCTTTTTTTTTTTTTTTTTTTTTTTGAGAGTTTTGCTGTAGGCACTTGTGCTCGCCAGAGAGACAGAGTGAGTCAGAGAGACAAAACAAGAAATCACTCCCTCAGAGGATAGCCACACTGCAAACCCTTCTCCTCCATTCTCCTCTTGGGATTTTGGGTATGCATGCACATGCACCAGGCATGAATTTTAAGCTGCCAGTGAGACTCAAACCATAGTCAATTATGTGGGAGTTCAACAATGCAACCATTACGCCATCTGCTGGTCCTGACATGCCCAGTTTAAAGGCTTCTGCAATATATATGTATAGTACATGTGCCAGATTTTACTCTAGAAAAAAAAAATTCACTTCTCATTCTCACTTAAGTATGAGAATATTATTTTCTGGAACCCATTCCACTTTGCAAATATGATAGGCCCAAAGGCATTTTACTGGCAAGGTGAACAAAGAAATGGGAGACTTTACCAAGGTTGAAATTTTTTTTTTGAGATAGATTTTTGCTATAGGGCACATACACTCACCAGAGACAGAGAGACAGAAAGCAAGAAATCACCCCCCAGGGGAGATGGCCATGCCGCAATCCCTTCTCCTCCATTCTCCTCTTGGGATTTTGGACATGTACACACATGCTCCTGGTGTGAGTTTTAAGCCACTGGATCCAGGACTCAAAACACAGTCAACTTACATGGGAGTCCAGCAATGTAACTATTACGCCATCTGCTGGTCCCAAACAGTTCTTTTAGAGTATCTTTCTGTAGTTCTTACTGAGTACCAGCCATGTGCCAGGCAGGATATGGTGAACCAGTTGCAGTGGTGCCTGGAGCACACAGATGGGCTCTTACACAGTAGAGTAAGGCTGATGGGATCAAGACATTTCTGGAAGGAAGATCCAAACTAAGGCCCAAAAGATTAGTTGTCAAGGGTGCTTGGGAGTCAGTAGGTTTGTGGAGGGCCCTGCAGATGCAAAACCTGAGGACACAGTATGTATTAAGGTTGGGAACCCTTTTTCAATCCTCATCATGGCAAATATATTTCCCAGTTTGTTTTTTAATTGTGCTTACAGTGATTGTGTATAGCAGTTTGTTTTGCCTCAGAAAGTAACTTTTATCCAAAGGAAAAAAAGGACAAGCTGTCCATCCTGTGGCTGTTCCTCAGCTCCTCAGGATTGAAGCCTGGCTGGGGCTAGGTGGCTGGATAGCCCCTCTCAGATGAAGTCAGCAACTTTGAGCAGCATCTCCTCAGTCAGTTATAGAAGGTCCTGATGTTTTGAGTCTTGTCTTCTGTCATGTGGTTTTAAATCTGTATGTAGTCAAGTATTTTACAAATCCAGAAATCCAGGATACCAAATGGCACTTATTAGGCCCTAAGTGTCCACTGCTATACAGGCAGAATACACCCTTGGATTCAGGCTGGCAGGAAGTCCACCAGTTTGTGGGAAGTTTCTCCATTCTTCAGAAGGCAGGGTCCCTTGTTCTCATTTGTTGGGTCTTTTGGAGACATGATCACTGTATAACTTGCCTTTGAGGATTAAGCTAATCCCTGAGAGAACTGAGATACCAAGGGCCTTCCCAGAGCTAGAATTGGTGAGGTGAGGGGCCACAGAAGACTAGAGGTAGCACCCTCTCCAGGCAGGACCCTTCTCTATGAGGCCCCTCCCTCTTATCAGGCAGAGGCCAGTGGGGTGCTAGGGTTTACAGCCCTTGCTTACCAGTGCCCCATTCACCCAGCCACAGAGCTTCTGATCCTGGCCCATCACTGCTTCACTCTGACATGCCACATGGAAGGCATCATCCGAGTCCTACAGGCTGCCCGGGTGCTCACAGATAACCACTTGGCCCCCAACGAGGAGTATGGACTGGTGGTGAGTAGCCCCCTAACCCTGCCCGCTAGCCTAAGGGAATCTTTGAGAGGAACAGACAGGTTGGGGGCCAACTCAGAACAAATGTGGTCTAGGGAGTTCTGCCTATATGAATACCATTACCTGCTTGACAGTTGGCCAGGCAGCCCAGCCTTCTGCTCCAGGTTATGACTGGTCGGCATCAGACTGCTCTGCGGCAGCAGGCACGAGAATCCCCACCATGTTCCAAGGCCGCCACACCCTCTTGCCAGGGCACTTAGCATTCTAGAGGGCTACAACAGCTTCATTTCTCCCAAAACAAAGTTCAGGGCTTCCTCCAAGCTCTGAATTGAGTTGACAGCCAAAGCCTTGTGTCTCTCCAGATTCTTAGGGCTTGAAAATGACAAGTGGCTGAGGAAGCCATTGGCCACTGTAATGAGTGATGGAAAGAGGAAGAATGTCTGCCTCTGAGAATGGCCCCTTAGCACTCAATAGCCACATTTTGAAACATCAGAGAAGGGGAACAGTCAGCAGGGTCCCACTGACGGGCATTTCCAAATCCTCCAGGGTACTTGTTGGGTACTTGGGAGGGAGCTAAGCACTGCCGCCTGGCCAGTAACCCTTCTACCCCTGGAGCTTGGCATCTAAAAGTAACCAAACTGATAGGGGTAGTGGTCTGGCTCAGAGAATTCCAAGTGATGCTGATACACGCTACCTTGCTCCCTCAGGTCCGCCTCCTAACCGGCATTGGAAGGTACAATGAGATGACATACATATTTGATTTGCTTCATAAAAAGCACTACTTTGAAGTGCTGATGAGGAAGAAGTTAGATCCGGTAAGTATAAAGTAATGTCATTACTGCTGACTTCCAGGAGTCTCAGCCTTTCTCAGAATAATTAAGATGGACCCCTGGGATGTAGAGGGTGGGAATTAGGGACCCCCCCACCCTACCCTAAGATACACACTATAAGCAGTGGCCTAAGATTACAAAATTCAGGCCTAGCTGCTCTGTGATACTGGAGCCATAGGGAAGATTGGGATTTGGTTCCCTGGTCAACCTGTACACACCGAACACAGGCGTGTGTGTCCGTAAGCCTGGCTGGTTGGAAGAGCTGGGGAGTGGGGTGGGAGGTTCACAATATAAGACCCTGTTGAGCACCCCTCCACCCCGAAAGAAAAAAAGATCACAGAGCATGCCAGGTAGAGATGTACTGATGCTAAATATAGAAGGAAATGAGTTTGTTCTCTCTCTCAGTTTCTGTCACCTATCTCTGCTATCTTAAATGCTGCCCTAAGAGGTGCAAAATCTTCTGGAAAGCCATACCAAAAGTGGACTGTCCAACCCCGAGGCTGAGTGTGAGGGCTTTTAGAGTAGCATTCTCAGGGTACCATGAAGACGTGCAGCTGAGAGCCAAGTGAGGAAGTGAATGCAGAGGCCTGGGCCAGCACAGTTGATGACTTGGAAGTAAAGGCCTGACTGACTTAGCTCTTTGGGGCCTGTCTGTCCTTAGTGTGACACTGGGCTTGTCACTCATGGAACCTGTCACTCATTCCTTTGGCTGGTTCATTGCTTTCACTCATGTAAGAGTTAAAAACCCAAGTACACTTTTGGCTTCAGTGAATCTAGACCCAGCCAAGCAGAATTAAGAGACAAAGCAGAAAAAAAAACCTTCAATGTTGAGCCAGTGTCACGATAGACTGGCCCAGTCTGGAGAGAGCAAGTCCTTGACGTATGTGCTTCTTCAGGATCCCCAAGAGGGTTTTATAAATTGTTTTTGAGGTAAAGCAGTTGTGTTTCTACATTTAAATATTCTTTTAATAACTTTTTCTTATTACAAAAGTAATGAATATTCCATGTAAGACACTTGGAAAACAGAACACAGGAAAAAAGCCCTGGGTGTCTATCCACCACCTGGAAACAGCCACTAACAGTTTGGTATAGGCCTTTCCATTGCACATGTACCCAAAGACATATACTTACATATTTTCACAAAACTTTTATCATGCTATTAAAATACAGCCTGCTTTTCTCAATAAGAGTGTATCACAAGAATTTCCTAAATTAACAGATAATCTATATCAGTTTTTAATGGCCATGTGGTACCACTAAGCCCTTATTTTGGACATCTGAATTATTTCTAATTATTTGTTATTAAGTATCCTTGTTATGATCATCTTAGCACTTTTTCTGCTTCTCTTTAGGAGTAGATTCCTAGAAGGGGAACTAGTATATCAACATATACATGCACATTTTTAAGGCTTCTGTTGAAAAGTTTTACCTTTCACACTCCCAGCAGTAAAGAGGACATGTCTGTTCTCTTACACTGAGAGCGAGCATACACTTTTCTACTCATTTTCAGCTTGGCTTACCTTTTTCACTTTTGGGGGAGTTTGGGAACCTTCCGAATCAAGAGACTCAGCCAATCCTGCCTGCTTTGCAGTCCCTGGATGAACCCCATTCACTCTTCTTTTCTGACAGAGTGGAACCCTGAAGACAGCCCTGCTGGACTACATCAAGCGCTGCCGCCCTGGGGATAGTGAGAAGCACAACATGATCGCCCTGTGCTTCAGCATGTGCCGAGAGATAGGTGAAAACCACGAAGCAGCTGCCCGTATCCAGCTGAAATTGATTGAGTCTCAGCCCTGGGGTGAGTGAGGCCACAGCAGCATCCCCAGAGCAGTGCTGCTAGCAGGGAAAGTTCTTAGGCTCAGACCAAGAATCCATGAGGATGGCTATTAGAAGCTGAGGGGGACATTGAGCACTCAGTCGGAGGGTAGGGGGAGCAGCCTGGCTGATAGGAGATGAAAGGGGGACCTGGAAGGCATCTGCATCTCAGGGATCATACTCAGGATCTGGAGCCTTCGCACCATCAGCCCTCAGGAACCGATGTGCATGTTGATGCCATATGAACCTTCCTTGTTTCAGAGAGAAATGAGAACTAGAGGGGGCACCAAATCCTGCTCCAGAGTGCAGTTACAGTAGGAGCATGTGCGTTTCTGGCCCAAGTAGCCTTTATATGAGTAAGACATATCTGCCTTCCTCTACATGTGGCTGCAATGTTGCTATTCAGCCCATCACTACAAGTGGGGTGAGAACAGCCTACCCTGAACTGATTCAGCAAGTCTTTTATTCCCCTGCAGAGGACAGCCTCAAGGATAGCCACCAGCTAAAGCAGCTGCTGCTCAAGGCCCTGACTCTGCTGCTAGATGCAGGAGAGAGTTACGCCAAGGTAACCAGAATCTTATTCCAGACTGGCCTTGGGACATGGTGTCTTCAGTGGGAATTACTTTCTCTTGTTCCTGGGTTTTTCCAAGTAAAAAGGTGGTGGGGTGGGGGTGGGGGGTCATGTGCTGAGCAGGGGCAGAAGGGGTGAGGACAGTTTGTCAGAGGGTTCACAAAAGAGATGCTGGCAAGTCTTTCTCCACTTGTGCCTCCCTCTACCTTGTCCCTCAGGACTCCTGTGTGCGACAGGCCCTCCACTGTCATCGGCTCACTAAGTTGATAACACTACAGATCCACTTCCTGAACACTGGCCAGAACACAATGCTCATCAACTTGGGCCACCATAGGCTGACGGACTGTATTGTGGCCCTACCTCGGTTCTACCAGGTGAGCAGGAAAATAAACTAGCCAGGGTTGGTGCAGCCTCTCTCTTGCTGTCCCACTCTTGCTGGGACCAGAGGTTGAGTGACTCAGGACTTGGAGCCAATAGCAGACCAGGACATTCTAGTTCTCCAGACTTTGCTGCCTCAGACACTTTGAAAATAGGCAATTTGGTCAATTTTTTACTAACATATTGTTCAGGCAGAGGTTAGAGAATGGTGAGACAGTAATGTCACCTTTCCCCTGCCTTTGCCAGCAAAGAGGCAGACACTCCTGGCCCCCTAGACAGTTGAAGTTCAGAGTAACTTCCCTGCTAGCAGTCCTGCAGGAATCTCTGAGCCTCATCAGCTGGTGCAGAGATTTAGGGATGCCAGGAGATTGTTCTAGGCCTTGTTACTGAGGAATCAGCCCTTTCACAGTTCCTTGAACAGGTGAATTAGAGGGAATAACAGTATGTTCTTTCTCAGCAGTCTTATTAATCCTGAGTCAGGAAGATTAAAAACACTGAAAGAAGGTGTTTTGTGGTTTATGGGAGGGGAAATGCCAAACGAACACTAGACTTCTTACTGACTCTGACACAGCCTTTTAATATAGTTAAACCATATTCACTAAGTAGTATCCAGTATTGTTTTCTAGAGCAGTCTGGCTTCAGTTTTATATCCCATGGACTCATGGTATCCTCCTTCACTTCCATCCTTTTAAGGCTTCTATTGTGGCTGAGGCTTATGACTTTGTTCCAGATTGGGCTGAAATTCTGTACCAGCGAGTGATTCTTAAAGGAGACTTTAATTACTTGGATGAATTTAAGCAGCAAAGGCTATTAACATCTAGTATATTTGAAGAGATTTCAAAAAAGTAAGTATTAAAAGTGAACTCTCGGGACCAGCAGTTAGCGTAATGGCTATGTCGCTGGGCTCCCATGTAGTTGACCGCGGTTCGCATCCCGGGTGGCTTAAAACTCACGCCAGGTGCGTGTGCGTGCGTGCCTAAGATCCTGAGAGGAGAACGGAGGAGAAGGGATTGCGGCGTGGCGGTGATTTCTTGCTTTCTGTCTCTTTGTCTGTCTCTGTCTGGTGAGCGCACGCGCCCTATCGCAAAAAGCTCTCCCCCTCCCCCCCAAAAAAAAACCACTTTGGGACTTAGTCCATTTGTGTTCACAGATTTGTGTCTCAGCTGGGGTGACTTCAACTTTATATTTTATGTATTGGGGTTAGCTGTGCTCCACAAGCTCTCTTACCTGTGGATGAGGGGGCTGGCTACAGACTTCTCACCCTGAAGGCAGAGGATGAGGGGAAGAAATCTAGTCATGCAAACAATTTTTAAGTGCCTTGCATCATGTCTAATATCCTTTGACCAAAGCAAGTCAAATTGCTGAGTTCAATGTCAAGAGTGTGCAAATTTAAGTGGCAAAAGAGGGAGCATAAAAAATTGAGGCTAATTATGTAATCTACCACAACGTAGGTTAACAAGTCAATACTGCTGTGTGTCTCTGTTTGGCTATATTTATAATTTCTCCTAGCAAATTAGTCTGAATTTGTATATCTCTCCTTAAGTCTCACATCTGAAAAAAAAAAAAAAAAGTGAACTCGCAACATTTCTCCTTGCCTCTGCTTTTGAGGTCAGATAGGAGTAAGGATTTAATGGCTAAGTGCAACATGCCTCTAGCTACCCCTCTCTGCTTAAAATAGCAAAGAGATGTCAAGACTCCCCAGAAGGAAGAGATCTTTTCATAGATTTATGTAAACGGATGATTGAGAACAGTCATCTATAGGACTATGTACTTATTATGGAAGATAGCTACTCAGAATAAGGTGACAAAACTCAACACCAGAGGCTGTTCTTAGAGCAGTAAACTTATGCTAATTAAGGTGAGCATTAATATACTAATTTTTAATGAAATAATATGTGTTTATAAGAACCCCCGACACAAGCCTGAGATACTGGGTTATCAGAAAAGTATTGACATATTTTTGCATAGAAAAATACATCACATTTCTGATGACCTAACAGATACTTAGACTCTAGCCCCTTCTCTCTAGGTAGTGGGCGGTGTCGGGGCTTACAGCCCTCACCTAAGGTGTAGTCTCTTAACCTGTATGTCGCACTCTTCTTTGTCTAGATATAAACAACATCAGCCTACTGACATGGTCATGGAAAACCTGAAGAGGTTACTCACATATTGTGAAGATGTCTACCTGTACTACAAGTTGGCATATGAACACAAATTTTATGAAATTGTCAATGTGCTTCTAAAGGACCCTCAGACTGGCTGCTGTCTTCAGGACATGCTAGCAGGTTAGATATTTCACAGGTGCCTGTTTGCTCACGTGGATAGCTCGTGGTCAGAGTGGACTAATGCACTGGGGAGCTGTGCCCATGTTGAAAAGCTACAACTGCACCATATCAGTCCTTTGTGATATTGGTAAAGAATGAGATTTTTCACAAGGAAATTCCTATGTAAAAGTTACTGTTCATCTGTACCATAAGGATACTAGAATTAAGATCAAAAGCTTCCTCTTTCTCAGGTTGGCTTCTTTAGATGATACAATAATGATTAAAGAATACCTGTGCCTGCAGATTCCAGTTTCAAAGAAATTTAATATTATTTACACAGTTAAGGAACAGGTGATAAATTTTCATTTGTTAGAAACTGACCTTTCTATAATAAAATAAATTTTAAATTCAGTGTATGTCATTATTACTGCTAAGGAAATCTTAGCCCTTGTGTGCCTTAAAACGATCTAGTTATGGTAATTATTGCTATGCAGTCACTGCTTCTGTTAACTCTTCAAAATATTTAGATCCTGTTTTTCACTTAGTCTACAGAGCTTTGAAGTTCCAATTTTCTATATAAGAGAAATTGGAAACTTTTGTCTTCTCTCTACTGCCTTTGTGACAACTAGGGGGAAAAATAAACCACTAATTTGGGTAAATCGGTTAGAAAATATATAATAAAGAAAATCCCCAAATCTATGCTCAGAGCCCTAACCTGAGTTATAGGCTTAATTACTCCAAATAAATAAGTCATCTGGGTACTTAATTAGACCTTGGAATCTAAATAACAAAATAATTTCCCGAAATAAATTAAGATGCAGGCAGCCATATACCTTTGCTGCTCTGAGGTGACACTATTACAGACCTGGCAAAGCCTTCATGTTTTAAAGCTGAAACTACATTAGGCATGTATCAGACTTTAGTAAGGTATACAGGTAAGTCCCAAGAGCTGTGTTCTATACTCTCCAAAAATATCTCTTGGGAGGTAACACAAATTTTAAGTCCTCACAATAGTGATTTTATTAAATTAGTTGCTTTATAAAACACTGCAGATGTCATAATTGTTAACATAACAATTTACCAAACTGTAATTAACTGGTGCAGTTTGCTGAGCATGTTTTATAAAGGAAAGGAAATGCCAAAACCCTGTTAAAGTTGTTCCACTGCAGCCTAGAACAAAGGAGAGTTGTTTCTAGAGTTTTTTCTCAGACACTAAAATCAGGCAATAAAAACAGGTAGAGTTTCCCTCCCCCATCTGAAGCACTCCATCAGTGGAAATAGATAAATAAAAACTAGACAGTCTATGCACTCCACAACTTGTAATGCAATAATGGAGAGGTTTACCTTCTTCGGCTTCCAAGTTGGAGAGTTTTGGTCAATTTTAAGTATCAAACTAGTGCTTTTCAGCCACAATATCTTCACGCTGAGATAAACAGTCCTCTTCACAATGTATTTTTAATATCCTCACGCTCAATTTTAAGACAAAGCAATTTTAATACTAGGTGCACACCACATGCCCTTGCTGCAAACTGCTTTTCTTGACAAGTTATGAAGTAGTTCAGGAGGTATGGTTAAGGCTGTATTACTGAATGGTGCTGGTAAATACTACACAATTTTTGTCATGTTGCAACCTTTGTTTCCAATTTAGTGACTGTTGCTATGGAATCAGACAGCAACAATGACAACATTATTAGGTTTGTTTTTTTTTTTAAACTTTGATTTAGTAGCAACTGAGGTTCCCAATTTTAACCCCTTGGCAGCAAGATCCAAGTTCCCTCATTCGCACGTTAGCACCTAAGTGTCAAGGGGTTAAATAACCAGCACAAAAGATACTGCACTTCTGATTGTAGCATTTGGCAGAACTGAAAGGAAAGGAAGTTGTGCTACATGTTGAAGGGATTGTGGGCAACAGAAAGAAGACACCAGGAGAAGATAAAATGTCACATGAAGTCTTCATAGTCTTGTACATATCCTCCATCATAACCACCATAATCTGCCAGATCGTCTTTCATGGTGGCCTTTAATCCCCCTCCGGGAACCACACCTTTCTTCTTCTTTTTGGCTTTGCTTTGCTAAAGATGAAAGAGAGTTAATTCATGAGACTTAATCTGCTATGTATTATCTTATCTGGCACAGTAACCCTCAATTAAAAGCCAAAGCCTCTGATCCTAGAAAAACTTAGTTCCCCAAGGGAGAACCCAAGCCTTATGGCAGTTTCTGCCACTGACTCAGAAAAGGGGACTTGAACATATTTGTAAACAAAATAACAGCATATAATCAAAGGACAGCAATGACCCCCACAGTCCCATTCTTCTCCCACTTAAATGGTATGGGGAGCAGCTTCGGACAGACCTCTACACTTGACAATTCTCTGCCTACAACCCCATCCTAATGTAAAACTCATTTTCTCTGTACAACTTGCTTACCTTTTCTTGCTTCTGTTTTTCACTGCAAAGCACAGTCAATGAGTTGGTAATCTTTTTCAAGTCATCAATTTCCACTAAAAAAAAAAGAAATTTTAATTTTACACATTTTGAAAATTAGTAAAAACAAAATGTACATGCTTCCAAAAATGTTATGGGAAATCTAATTCATCGTTAAACTTCAGTAAGTGAAATACCTATAATATCTCCTTTTTAAACAACAGACAGTAAAGAACCATTCCATTCTATCTATATCATTAACACTCACGGTGCTCAATACCATCCTTCCTTACTCAGTCTAGACAGAGGGGGGAAGATAACCAACTCCTTCCATACTGTGTCTTCCCTCCCCCCATACTATGTCTTGATGCTCAGTCACAGAATGACAAGTCTTATACCTGCAGATGACAACAGTAAATTACCAAGGTGTCTACATTTTCTATCACTGGAACAAAAATGAAAACAATGACTATCTCAGCATCCTGCCAGGAAACAGACCTGTTAGTAGACATGTATGCCCATCCTTACAAAAATAAGCTAGGGGGGCAGCAGATGGCGCAGTGGTTAAGGTGCTGGACTCCTGCATGATGGACTACAGTTTGAGTCCCAGACCTGGTGGCTTGCTTTCTTACTTTCCCTTTTCTCTATTTCTCTAGTCAAATTTTAAAAAATAATAACAACAAATAAAATAAATAAAAATGATGCTAGAAAGACCATTTTTTAACTACCAGAAGTATTCAAATTTTGGCTAGAGGGCACCTCCAAAACAGACAAAATAGTCCATGCAGAATAAAACATTGATATACCAACTCTAGGCATATCAATGATTGCATTTAAAATTCCCAGCTTGAGGGAACCAGCAGTTAGCGTAATGGCTATGTCGCTGGACTCCCACGTAGTCGACCGCGGTTCACGTCCTGGACCCGGTGGCTTAAAACTCACACTGGGCGCGTGTGCATGCGTGCCCAAGATCCCAAGAGGAGAATGGAGGAGAAGGGATTGCGGCGTGACCATCCCCCCTGGGGGGTGATTTCTCGCTTTCTGTCTCTATGTCTCTGTCTGTCTGGCGAGCGCACACGCCCTATAGCGAAAACCTCTCCAACAAAACAAACAAAAAAAAAAACCAAAAAATTCCCAGCTTGAGGGGCCAGCAGATGGCATGGAAAGTTAATACAGCTGGATTGAACATGGCCAACTATGCAGTCCAAGTTCTGGACCCAGGGACCTGAAAAACACACAGGGCACATGGGTGTACATGCCTAAAATCCCAAGAGAAGGAACTGTGGCATGGCTGATCCCCCTGGAGTGGGGCTGCTTTCTTAACTTTCCTTCTCTGTTTGTCAGTTTCTGGGAAGCACATGCATCCTATAGCAGAAGAAACAAATAAAGAAAACCCCCAGCTTAGTGATAATTTCTCCAAGAGAACCCAATTAGAATTTGTGTCGGGTTCCTTTTTCTCAATCTTAAAAACAGCAAGTACTTGCAGAACCAGTCCCTTCCACATTCATGTAGCACCACCCATGGCTGTCACTCCCACACACCCTGCCCTAAAGTGTGTGACTCGATTCTGGGCATGGCACCACAGCCAAAGACCCAGAGAATGTACGCCAGCCCTGTTGAGCAACTGTACCTTGTCTAAGGCTTTCTCATTTGTAACATAAAGTGATGTCTCACCCAACTGTAAAATCCTATACCAGGCAAAGATCATGCCCCCTCAAAAGATACTGTGTAGCCACTTTTCAGGAATAATTAGATAAAAAGAATAAACTAGCAGTAGCTACTTGCCAATATACTCAAATGTCTCTTTGGGAAGCTGCTGTAAAGCAATTAAGACAGTTTCCCCTCCCAAAATAAAAAAACCTAACATTCAAACTCATTGTATATCTGCAGGACACCATTCCAAGGTAATCTGCTAAAGAGTAAATCCTAAATCTATTATTACAGTAACAAAACAAAACAAGAGATGGCCTTGTGGCCTAGTGCTTAAAGGACCCAGATCCCACATGGTTGACCACGGTTTGAATTTGGCCCCAGTGGCCCTGGTACATATGCATTCGCTCCCACACCCCACTGTGGGGGTACTCTCTCTCCCTCTCTGCATGCCTTCTTCTCTCTTTTGAGCATATGCACCCTTTGGCAATAAGTTAGGGAAAAACAATTCTATCCTCAGGACCAACAGTTGACGAAATAGCTATGTCACTGAATTCCCATGCAGCTGACTGCGGTTCGAGTCCTGGACCCAGTGGCTTAAACTTACGCCGGGCGAGTGTGCATGCGTGCTCAAGATCCTGAGAGGAGAATGGAGGAGAAGGGATTGTGGCATGGCCATCCCCCTGGGGGGGGGTGATTTCTCACTTTCTGTCTCTGTCTGTCTGTCTGGCAAGCAAGCGAGCACGCCCTATAGCAAAAACCTCAAAAAACAAAAACAAAAAAAACTATCCTCCTGATTATAAAACCACAGGGGTTAAAGACTAGAATTACTTACATGAAATACACACATCTCGAACTAAGGCTTCCAAGAAACTGGCATAATATAGTGATTTTTCATATTGTGTAATTTTATCCTTTAGCAACTTTCCAAACTCTGTGAAGTCATCTCTCGATGATGGGTTCATAGCATCTATTCCATAAACTGTATTATTAACACCTGCAAGAAAAAGAGAAGCACTTGAAAATATCAGAGTTTTTTTTCCACTTAAAGTCTATAAACCAATTAGCTATCTGAATAACCCTGTTTTTTCATTCTAAAGCAGGGGTTCTTAACTTGGATCCATTGAAGTTCTTGAACTGAATTCAGGGGTGGGTGGGGGCCTGAAAATTTGAGAAATAAATTACCTCTTTATTTTTATTAACCTTTAACTTAGTATTTTCCTCCATTTTGGTTACAAGCAACAAATTGGTATATTAGCAAAACTGACTTAACAGCAGAGATCTTAGGGGCTGGTCCCATGGCTCAGTGGTTAAGGGAGCTGGATTCCACATGGCTGATAGCACTACAAATCCCTGCCCCAGTGGCTTGAGATAGACGCCAGGCCTATGTGTGTGCATGCAAATGTGAGTGCCCCATATCCTGATGAGATGGAGAAATGCAGAAATGACTGTGATGCAACCATGCCCCATGAAGGGGACTGCTTTCTCTTTCATCCTCTCTGACGAGCACACTTTACCTCTCGCTTATTAAAAAAAATAATCACAGAAATCAGACACTTTCATATCACATTATAACTATCACAGATATTTATGAGACTGGTCATCATTACTTTCTAATTACATTACTTACTAAACCTGCCACTTCATCTTATTTAATACATTAACAAGCACATAATTATGTATCACGAATTTGTTATTTCAGTATTTTGAAACCTATTTGAATATAGCAGGCCTCTTTTGTAAAACAAAATCCTGTATGTTTTATTTTATTCATTTAAAAACTTTATATTGGGGGCCAGCCAGGTGGCATGGTGGTTGAGCCAGCTGGATCTCACATGACTAACTGCACAATTTGAGTGTGGGACCTGGTGGCTTGAAAAACACACCACATACATATGCATATGTGCTTGAAAATCTCCAGAGGAGAAATGGAGAAGGGATTGTGGTGTGGCCATCCCCCTCTTCTCTTCTGGCAAGTGCACGTGCCCTATAGCAAAACTAAAAAACAAAAACAAACAAAAAAACCTTTGATCTTTTTAAGATAATTATTTATTTAATTCCATTTGTTGTTGTTATTATTTTAATCTGACCAAAGATAGAGGGAGGGAAAGGGAAAAAACAAGCTGCCACATCCAGGACTCAAACCGTGGTCAGCCATGTGGGAATCCAGTGCCTTTAACCATGCCACCTGCCAGCCCTAAAACTTTATATTTAAAAAAGAGTCTACACATCTGCCAAAGGAGTACTTAACACAATAGGAATGTTCTAAAATGGTCTGTCCAATAACAGCCCACAGTGAAGTGGGGACAGGAAAAAAACGCAAAGATGGGTCACCTGTAAGTATCCAGCTAACTCCAGAAGCTAAGCAGGGGTAAGCTATGTATTAAATTCCAATAGAAAAATCAACCTCGCCTTAAAAGAGCTCTAGTCTAAGGGAAAAACAGTTCTAATGAGGGCCGGCAGGTGGTGTGGTGATTTTAAGGACACTGGATGCCCACATGGCCTACTGCGGTTCCTGGTGGTTACATTCTCACTTTCTCTCTCCCTTCCTCCCTCTCTAATCAGACTAAAATGAGTAAATAAATAAAGTTAAATGAAAATAATTATTTTACAAAAAAGTTTTAATCTAAGAGAAAAATGAGTTCTAATCTAAGAAACAAGTATGCTGCTGTATAACTTCTCAATGTCAAGTAAATTAGTTGTTAATATCAGACTCAGTATTTTGCTATGAGAAACATCAACAAAAGCCTATTAACCTAAGAATGAATACATGATATTTTTACCTTTTAATATGTAACTGGTGTCCCATATTAGGCTTTGTGAACACTACATGAACCCACCTCTTTAATAAACACACAGGCAGTTTTTACCATCCTATGAAGACATAATAATGGCCGAGTGCCCTCTATAATTAGATGAGTATAATTAAGACTTACTTGCCAAGAATACACAGGGTGCACAGGATAATTCAGAGCACCTCTTGAGACCGAGGTTGGTAGAGACCCACTGAAGAATACAGTCATACATTCTCATGAAAAGGGGAATGATCATTGAGAAGAATAGGGGTAGCAGAAAAAAATCAGAATAACTAGATCTTCTTGGTTATAAAAAGTTTTTTAAACTTTAAAGTTTTTTATTTTAACTGTCTCAACATGATCTTCTGAAAAATACTTAGTACGTAATAATGAGAAACTTGGGTAAGTGTGGGTTTAACTATTTTTCTGGCCAAGTCTCTTACTCTACTCTGTGCCATGTAACTCTCCCTCTGGAACACTCTAAATGTATCTATTTTAAGCATTCTGCACATTTCTTTTGTCTTATTAATATATACTAACCATAGATGCAAGCATGCTACAGAGAAATGGTGGTCCCCTAAAGATAGGACATGGTGAGGGCAAAGAAAGATATCAGAGAGAAATGACCTGGACACAAAAAGATGAAGTTGAGGGGCCAGCAATTGGTGTAATTGCTATGTCTCTGGACTCCCAAGTAGTCGACCACGGTTCGAGTCCCAGACGTGGTGGCTTAAACTCACATCGGGTGCGTGTGCATGCGTGCCCAAGATCCTGAGAGAATGGAGAAGGGATTGCAGCATGGTCATCCCCCCTAGGGGGTGGTTTCTCGCTTTCTGTATCTCCGTCTGTCTCTGTGTCTCTCTGGCGAGCGCACACGCCCTATAGCAAAAACCTCTCCCCCTAAAAAAAGAAGGCAAAGTTGAATATCTCACCTGGACCAGCACCCTACTATCAAAGCTTATCTAGACTTAAAGTTAACAGGACAGCCCTATAGTAAGTTTAACATTTAAAACTTAAGACTACAGACTTCATGTTTTGTCCAAACTTTATCTAGTGGATAATATTCTAGGCAGAAGTATACTTTATTTGGGCCCAATGAGTTTTCTCTTAACAGTCTTTTAATTGATACTGAAAACAATTATTCAAAAACCTGAACAGAGGTAAAATGTGATGCTCTGCTAGGTTGGCCCACATAGGTTCAGACCTCCCTGAATGTGACAGGCAAGTACGTGCCTATGATCCAGGGCTGGCTAAGGCCGGGAGTGAATCTTGGTGTCAGGACCCTGCTAGGGATGCTGTCCCACTCACTCACTCACTCATAAAATATATGGATTAAAAAAAAAAAAAAAAAAAAAAAAAAACTTGGGAACCAGCAGATGGCCCAATGGTTACATTGGACTCCCATATAGTCAACCACAGTTTGAGTCCCGGACCTGGCAGTTTAAAACTCACGCTGGGTGCGTGTGGATGCGTGCCCAAGGTCTCTAGAAGAGAATGAAAAGGCGATTGTGGTGTTGCCATCCCTCGGGGGGGAGGGGTGATTTCTTGCTTTATGTCTCTCTCTCTCTATCTCTCTAGCAAGTGTACATGCCCTATAGCAAAAATCTCTCTCAAAAAACAACAACAACAACAACAAAAACAAAACAAAACAAACACTTGTTGGGCCAGCAGGTGGCCTGGAGGTTAAGGCTGGACCCCACATATCTAGCTGTGGGTCAAATCCTGGAACCAAGGACATAAAAATCACACCAGGTACATTCATGTGTGCCCCAAATCCTGAGATGAGACTGGAGGAGAAGGGACTACAGCATGGCCATTTCCCCCCCATCTCTCTTTCTCTCTGGTAAACTCATGTGCCCTATAGCAAAATCTAAAAAACAGAACAAAAAAACTTGAGCATGTATCTCACACTACATCTCAAGTAATAACATCTCGAAAATATGCAAAGATTAAAAACTGCTTTCAGGACTCACCACGGTTTGAGTCCCAGCCCCAGTGGCTTGGAAAACACCTAGAGCACATATGCGTGCATGCCCAAAAACTCCTAAAAGGATGAAGCGTGACCATAGCCCATTACAAGGGCACTTTCTCATGTATGCACACTTTGGCAATTAAAAAATAAAACGAAATAACAAAAAAAAAACATAAAACCTGCTTTCATATACCTAAGTTAGCCAGTACAGGTTGAATATCCCTCATCTGAAATGAGTGGCACCAGGAGTGTTTTGGGTTTCCGATTTTGGAATATTTGCATATCCATACTGATACATCCTAGAGTGAGATCCAAGTATAAACAGGAAATCCATTTATGTTTCATACATGCTTTATACACATAGAATGAAGGTAATTTTATACAATATTTTTGTATTGCAACATTTTGCCTATAACCGAACATTATCAGGGCAAGTGTGGGCTTTTCCACTTGTGGCATCATGTCCATACTCAACGTTTCAGATTTTGGAGCATTCTGGATTTCAGCTTGTTAGATTAGGGATGTTCAACCTGCATTTTTCTTTTAAAAAAGAAATGGTTTCTTAACTTTCATAACTAGTAAAACTTGTAGATTTTTTATATGGGAGAGTTCAATATTACACTACAATGGCACCCCCTTCTTACCAAAAGTTTCTTTTGCTAATTCGAGGTCTGACTCTTCCTGTAATTTCTTTAGCCGCAGTTTATCTGCTAATTGTTCTTCTGGTGTTAGCACTTTCGGTTCTTCAGGTTCTTCTAACTAAAAGGAGACATAAAAGCAGTTTTAAAAGGGTTGAGATTTTAACAGACCTACTCTGTTTACCTATTATATGAATTTTTTCTTTTTTGAGAAATTTTTTTTGCTATAGGGCGTGTATACTCACCAGAGAGACAGAGAGACAGAAAGTGAGAGAAATCACCCCGCAGAGGGGATGGCCAGTCGTAATCCTCTTGTGATTTTGGGCATGCACACACACATGCCCGGCATGAGTTTGAAGCCACCAGGTCCAGGGACTTTAATCACAGCCATGAGGAAGTCCAGCAACATAACCATTACACCATCTGCTAGTCTCTGTTGTATGAATTTTGAGATTTTGTGCTATAGAAGACATGCGCTCTCCATAAAGACAGCGAGAAATCACCTCCCGGGGAGATGGCCACACAGCAATTCCTTCTTCATTATCCTCGTACGAGCTTGGGCATGCACGCACACAGACCTGGCATGAATTTGAAGCCACCAGGTCCAGGACTTGAACCATGGTTGGCCATGTGGGAGTAAATGGTGTAGCAAATAGTGTAGCAGTGACGTAACTGCTACACCATTTGCTGTTCCCGCACATATAAATAATGATATTTACAAAGTAATTACTGTATTTCAAGCATTTCTCTAAACACTTTTAATATTCTTATTCCAATTTTACAGATAAAAAATAAAGGCACACATTAAAGAACTTGCCCACAGTAACAGAAAGTAAAACAGGTGGTAAAGTGATAGAGCTAAAATCTGAACCCAGGAAAACTGGGCTATTTCTTTCTTTTCTGTAAAATTTGCTAGAGGGTGTATGTGCTTGCTGGAGACAGGAAGCAAGAGAGAGGGAAAGTAAGAAAGCACCCCTTACGGGGATGGTCACGCCACAATCCCTTCTCGTTCACTTTTCCTTTCACATTTTGGGGACACACACACATGCACCTTCTGTTTTTCAAGTTACTGGGTACTAAACTTGAACCACACAATCAGCCGCATGGATTCAGCTACCTTAGCCACCACACCACAAGTTGGCCAGACAGGTTATTTCTATAGCCTTTTTAAATTATAATTTTAATTTTTTTAAGTTCACTTTTTTCATGAAAGAGAGAATAGGGTAACCCCTCAAAGGGTCTTATAGTCTACCCCCAGCCAGCCCAGATCATGGGCACATGCATTCAGTGTGTACAAGAGAGGCCTCAGGACACAAACTGGAACCTTCCCATGTGGTTCTAGCATGGCAGAAGGCTGGGTTACCAGTGTGCCACCATCTGGTCCCAATACAGCCTTTTTAATTTCATTATTTCTTCTTTCCATTATTTTATTTTATAACTTTTTAAAATATTTTTCCCCAGCCACTGGGGCCAGTATCTGAACTGTGGTTGGCTATGTGGGATCTAGCTCCTAATGCATAGTGTTTAATCACTGCACTACTGGGCAGGCCTTCCTGGTGATCTTATCTTTTCTTTTTTAAAGTTTTGCATAGCGTGTACTCACTGGAGAGAAATGAAGACAGAGAGAAAATAAGAAGCACCTTCCAGAGGGGGATGGCCGCAGCACAATCCTTTCTCCTCTAGGGATTTTGGGCACACACGCATGGTGTTTTTCAAACCACCAGGTGCAGGACTTGAACTGTGCAGTTGACTACTTGGGATCCAGCCTCCTTAACAATCATGCCACTCATAATTTCTATAATTTCTTATTTATATTGTTGTGGGGTATGATGAGATACATAGTCTACACTCAAAAAGAACCGTAAGGAAATCCTAAACTTCATTTAGAACCTATTACGTTGTTAGTAGTAATATCAGTATTATAGAAAAAGGCAAACAATTATGTTAACATTATCAGAAACTAAGATTTTTCAGTATTAGAGAAAATACTGACCATGGACTAATGATTAGACACACACACACACACACACACACACACACACACACACACACTTGTTTTCTAGGTTCTTTGACAAAAAGGGGTCTAGAAGGTAAGGCCACCAAATAATACTGAGTACTCCTAGCACCTATATTTGGTCTCTTCTAGATTTAACAGCCATGTTACAGGAAACTGCAACTATAAGAAAAGCAATTAGACAAAATCTACAAGGTAGGATATTCCACAGGAAAATAAGTGTAGTCTCTTCTACACCTCAATGTCATCTGAGAGAAGGGTGGCATAGTGGTTAAGGTGCTGGACTCCTACACGGTCAACCATGGTTCAAGTCTTGGACCCAGTGGTTTGAAACTTAGGCTGGGTGCATGTGCATATGTACCCAAAATTCTGAAAGGAGAATGGAGAAGGGAGTGCAGCATGACCATCTCCCTCAGGGGTGATTTCTCATTTTCTTTCTGTCTCTCTGGCAAGCACACACATCCTATAGCAAAATCTCTTTAAAAAAAGATACATTAACGGGGACCAGCAGGTGGCATGGTGGTTAAGGTGCTGAACATTCCCACATGGCCGACCAGGGTTCGAGTACTGATTCTGGTGGCCTGCTTTCTCACTTCCTCTTTCTCTCACCTTCTGTCTCTCTCTGGTCAAATTAAAAAATAAATGAATGAGGGACCAGCAGTTAGCGTAATGGCTATGTCGCTGGACTCCCACGTAGTCAACCGTGGTTCGCATCCCAGGCGCGTGTGCGCGCCTGCCCAAGATCCCGAGAGGAGAATGGAGGAGAAGGGATTGCAGCGTGACCATGGGGGGTTGATTTCTCACTTTCTGTCTCTCTCTTTCTGGCTGGCGAGTGCATGCACCCTATAGCAAAAAATAAATAAATATATATTTTTTAAATTTGAAAGATACATTAACAATCAAACGCAAACGTATGGTTCTTATATGAATAACCCACATGTAAAAGACATTTTAGAACAACTAGAAAAATGGACATAAGGCCAGACCCATGACCCAGCACCAGATCTCACATGGCCAACCATGGTTTGAGTATCAGCCCCAGTGACCTGAGAAACATACTAGGTACATGTGTGCACAGGCCCCAAATCCCAATAGGATGAAGAGATGAAGAAAGGGTTATGGCATGACCATGACGATGAGAAATGCTTCTCCTCCCTCCCTCCCCCCCTCTCTCTCTCTTTCTCTCTCAAGCACACATTCCCTTTGGCAACTAAAACAAACAAAAACACAAAGAGCATTAGATTAAACTGAAAAGTATTCATATATTTGGTGTGATAACAGTATAACTGTGACACATCCTTACACATCCTTTTTTCAGAGATGTATACTAAAGTATTTAAGGTAAATGGAGAAGGGGGGGAGGTCACACAGTGGTTAGGATGTTGGATTCCCACATGTCTGACTATGCTTCAAGTCCTGGACCGGGTGGCTTGAAAATCACACAGGGTGATGATTTGTCACAAAGGGTTCATGTCTGTGAATGTCCAAGATTCCAGAGTGGAGGAGTGAGGTTGTAGCATGGCCATCTACCCTAGGGAGTGATTTCTCACTCTCCCTCTCATTGTCTCTCTCAAGGTCTCGACGGCAAGTGCATGCACCCTATGGCAAAACATTAAAAAAAAAAAAAGGTAGAATGCATATTGTTTGACATTTCATTTACTACATTTTAGCAAAAATAAGAATAGATGAAGCAATAAACTTAGGTGTTATGTATTATTTATTATGCTATTTTCCTACTTATGTTTAAAATTTTTCTTAAGGTGTCAAGAAAGAAAAAAATTAAAGAGCTTTCTATGACCAGATATGGAATGATTTCTTCAATACTAAATAAAAAGCATGGTAGAAACTGCCTAAGAATGGGGAAGAATAAGGATATAGTTACATCCAAATACAGAGACACCTCAGAGACAAAGAAACTATTTACTTGTGAAATAGAGGAAGAAAGACAACATAAATTAGTAAAAGAGAGAGGAGGTTTTTTTTTTTTTTTTTAAGAATTACTTATTTTATTTATTATTATTATTACTAATCTTCTTTTTAATGTGCACTCACCAGAGAGAGAGAGAGAGAGAGAAAGTGAGAAAGCAAGTCACCAGGTCCGGGACTCAAAGCATGGTCAGCCATGTGGGAATCTAGCACCCTAACCATCGTGTCACCTACGAGTCCCAGAGTGCTCTTTAATATTGTTCTGATTTTTGAATGATGTAATGTGTTTTCTATTCAAAAAGCAAATAAAGTAATACAGTATTCCTGATCTATTATAGATCCAAATAATCAAGACTGAAACATTTATATAGTACATGAGTCAGAAAAGGACACTTTTTATATCTTACTCAATATGTAAACGAAAGATAAGACTATTCATGACTTGAAAACACTGCAGGCACTGGCAAAAATCAGACTGTATCACTGTAATCATGACTGTTCCTGAATGTTCATGAAAATGTAAAAGGAATCCCACTATACAAAGCTTGGGGAGGTTGTTGCAAAAACCACAAATCACGTTTGTTTTGCAATCCATACCTATCTAATGGTATTGATTTATAGTCTTTACAGAGCCCTTCAATTGCTGGGTAATATCAACAGCCTATTAGACTCTATAACCCTAAAGATGTGACAATTCTGTATTTTGGAAAATGAATAGTACTTACCCTCTTTTTAATTTCTTCTTGTCTTTTCTTCTGTTGCCGTTCTTTCTCTTTTATTTTCTCTGCTATTTTTTTCTTTTCTGAAATTTTTACTTCTGAAAGAAATGTTTTATTCACAGTTAGAATGAGTATTTTCTGTTTATGGATGCAGCAAACCTGATACTTAAACACTTCAAAAGACCAAACCTTTCCCAGTTTCTGTTTCATGTAGTGATTTCCTGACAAATAAAAACTGGAACGTTTCAGGACTCTTCTCTGTCTCCTCTCTAATATGACCTCTAAGATCCAAACATCTCCCTTCATATTTCTCCACTATCCTTTAGGCAGAGTTTACTGGGTCATCAGGAAAGTCATGACACATTTTTGCTTACAAAAACAAAGAAAGATATGTCATGACTTTCCCAATGACCTAATAGATCATTCAACTATAATGCCACATCCTCCTCTCTAAATACCCAGCAGTGGTTCTCTTTGCTCTTTAGAGCTTGCCGTGTCCGGTTCTTTTACTTTCTAGTTTTCAGGACTCTAATTCACCGTCATGTCCTCTGAAGAAGGGAAGCTCTTCGTGGGAGGGCTCAACTTCAACACGGATGAGCAGGCACTGGAGGACCACTTCAGTAGCTTCAGGCCTATCTCTGAGGTGGTCATTGTCAAGGACCGGGAGACTCAGCGTTCCCAGGGTTTTGGCTTTATCACCTTCACCAACCCAGAGTATGCTTCTGATGCCATGAGAGCCATAAATGGAAAGTCTCTGGATGGTCACCAGATCTGTGTGGACCATGCAGGCAAGTCTGCCCGGGGAACCAGAGGAGGTGCCTTTGGAGCTCGTGGTTGTAGCTACTCTAGAGGTGGTGGGGATCAAGGATATGGGAGCGGCAGGTATGACAATCAACCTGGAGGATATGGTTATGGGTATGGAAGGTCCAGAGACTAGAGCGGCAGAAGCCAGGGTGGTTATGACCACTACTCAGGAGGAAATTACAGAGACAATTATGACAACTGAGATGAGGCATGCACACGTAATGTAGATACACAAGGAATAACACTTCTGATCCAGGATCATCCTTCCAAATGGCTGTATTTATAAAGATTTCTGGAGCTGCACTGAAACATCTGTTTCAGTACATCAACGTCTATTTTTGAATTGAGCTCCCAAGGTAGCTTGTTGAAAACCTTTTAGAAAGCTCCATATGTTTAAAAAAATTTTTCTCCCATTTACTGACAAGTTTTGGGGCACTCGTTGAATGGATATTTTTACTTTATCATTTTTTTGTTTAGTTAGGGCTCTCAGGATTATGGATTCTGGTTAAAAAAAAAAAAAAAGTTTGACCAGACTTTTAAAATTAATATGTATCTAGGGATATTTTAAAAAGCTGTAGACGTGATATTTATCATGTAATGATAGGAAGCGATTTCTCAACGTACCTTTTAAGAAATCTGCACCAAGAACATTATTACTTGGAAGTTTTTTTTAAAACACAATCATGGCCCTGATTATATAGAAGAGTTTCTTAAAAGTGTTTGTGAATGTCACTTTTTTTTTAATACTGGAAGAAAAGAATATTCTGTTGTGTCTCATGTAGTGTTTAGAATGTCCTTCACAGAGCTGATTAAAAGATGAAACGTGAAAACAGAAAAAAACAAAAAAAAAAAAACAGCACTGATGTTGTGATGGAATAGAGAAGAGATACAGAGAAAAGAAAAAAGAGTGGAATTGGAAGAATGCTTGGTTTCTAAGATTTTCAATTCTGTGAACATGTTGTCATTTGTCTTAACATGAGCACCACATGCTAATCAAGACATAAAACTAAAACAAGACATAAACTGAAGAGCCCCAGTAGCTCACCTGGTTTTATTTCTGCTTCCTCCTTTTTTTCGTCCTCATCGTCATCCCAGTTATCCTAAAGAAAAGTACCTCCATTAATAATTCTTGCATATTTGCTTTTCCATATAATTTTATTATCCACTAACTCCATAAAAACAAGTTTGTTGGTTCACTTTATTCATTTTTTGGTATTGCATTAAATTTATAAATTAATGTAGGAAATACTGACATCTTTATAATGCTTGGATGCACTAGTCAAAAACAAGGATTGTCTTTCTATCTGTTCAAGTACCTTTTGTAACTTTCAGGAATGTTTACAAGTTTCCCTGTTTCAGATTTTGCATAATTCTCTTTAGGTTTATTACTATTTTGTCTTCTATGGCACTGCTGTACATAGAGCTTTTTCCTTTCATGTTCTCTAACTGGTTTTCATTTATGTATAGTAAAGCTATTGGGTTTATGTTGATTTTATATCCTGCTACCTTACTGAATTTATCACTTAAGTTAGATTATTGATTCTCTAAGATTTTCCAGATATAGTACTATATTTCTGTAAATAAGAAATAGCTTTATTTCTTTACCAATTCATATGTTCCCACAATCGATTTCTTATCTATTAATAATTGCCCTGGCTAAACCTCTAATAAAATGTTGAAGATCAGCAGAGAGGACGGGCATCCTTGCCTTGTTCCCCTCTTAATGGAAATTCCTCTATTGTTTGCCCATGGAGTGCTATGCACCCCCAGGAAATTTATGCAGCTTTTTATTTTATTGCCTCTGGAGTTTTAATTATTTTTAAAGTTTTTTTTGTTTGTTTGTTTAAGGTTTTTGCCATTCGCTGCATGCAAGCATAGGAGACAGTGAGGGGGGAAGTGAGAAATCACCCTCCAGGGTGATGGCCACACCACAGTCTGTTTTCCTCCTCTCTCCTCCTGGGATTTTGGGCACCAATGCTCACAAACCCAGTATAATCTTCAAGCCACCAGGTCATGGACACAAACTGTGATTGGTCATGTGGGAGTCCTACACCTAACCACAATGCCACCTGCTGGCCCCTAGAAAGTCTTTTCTTACACCAGAATTCACCCACATATTCTTTTTAGTTTTTATTATGGGTATGTGTGACTGCTGGAGAGAAAGTGAGAAAGCATGCCTGGAGAGATGATCATGTCTCAAGCCCTTCTCCATTCTCTTTTTAGATTTTCAAGTCACCAGGTCCAGGACTCAAACTACACAGTCGACCCTGTGGGATCCAGCTGTCCTAACCTCCACGCCCCATTGCTGGCCACCACGTATTCCTCTAGAATGTATAGTTTCATTTTACCCCCATTTAGATCCCAGATCTATCTGTAGTTTTTTTCTTGTGTATTATGTAATGTAGGTCTTATTTTCTAGATGGCTAACCGGTTGTCACAGCATCACTTGTTTAAAAGATCATCTTTGCCCTGTGATTTACCAAACATTAAATGTTCAAATGGGGCCAGTCAATGACATGGAGGTTAAGCTGGCTATATCCCACATACCTACTACATGGTTCAAGTCCTGGACCTGGTAGCTTGAAAAACATGTCTGACACATGTGTGTGCATGCCCAAAATCTTGAGAGGAAAATATAGGAGAGGGGACTGTGGTATGGTCATCCCCCCTGGGGGGTGTTTCTTGTGCACTATAGCAAATGTTTTTTAAAAACTGAGAGAACTTTGTATCATACTTCTTACTTTGCCAAATATACAAAATACCCCATACTCCAGCGAAAGACTCATTTATTTCAAACAATGTTCCATACACTCGATCCTCATTAATGAATTAATCTATATAATATTTCAGCCCATTATTAAAGAGGAGCCAAAAGCTCATCAACACTTTCATGGACTTCACTCTCTAACCTAGGCAGGGCCCTCTGAGATAGATCTACACTCTCTTTTCTATGCCTGACTCAATCACTGAACTAAATATAAATCAATTATCAAACACAATTTTCTGAAGGCTCCACAGAACGCAGAAGACTCAAGTTTAATAGGGATCCACATGGCCCTGTATTTAAATAAGGCTTTAATTTATGGTAGCCTGGTTACTGTGCTATGACATGCCATATGAAGCTGGCCCAGAGGACGACAGATACAAAGCAGCCAGCCCTGCTGCTACTAGAAGCAAAGGCTGACTAATGTGCCACAGCTACGACACCAAGCTTCTGGTTTCATAACAAGGCAGGTTATAAATCCAAAGAAGTCCAGGCATATAAACCAACCAAGCCTTAATTTTTTATAAAAATCTTTTAAGTCCATCAAAGAAATTAAAAACCCCAACATCCTGATTAAAGCTACCATAGGGTCTGTAGGCAGAGTGGGGAAAACTATATATAAAATGAAGGTAGTTTTATAATCATATTTTGCAATTTAACCCATCATTCAGTTTTAACAGACAAAATGTAAATCACTCATTACTTTGATAACTAAGATATTAGAGTTAGAAATGAAAGATCAAATGTTTGTATCATCTTGCTCATTTGTTATGTGCTTATATCAATATATCACAGCACAAAAGGAGTCAGAGAGCTAAAAATAAAGTTAACTGCCAGGCATTTGTTGTTGCTGTTTATAATCTTCACAGAACATAGGAAGGCCGGGTCTGTGAGTGATATATGTGGCTTAGTCAGTGCCTCAGAGAGTAGGACCATTTGCTTACTTCTAGGGGATGCATATTTACAGTCCCTAATAGCAGTGATCATAATTATAACAGCAGCACTGGTTGCTTACTTTGCATCAGGCACTATGAGCAACACAGCTCACAGTTCTGTACGGCAGTATTGCAGATAAGGAAACGAAGACTACACATGGCCATCAACAATTTCTGAAATAACTAAAACTCCTTTAAAATGTTACCATCGGGGTTGGTCAGTGGTGCCAGTGCTTGCGATCAGCAGATGGCATATTGGTTACTTTGGTGGACTCTCACAGAGTCGACCGCTGTTGGAATCCTGGATCCAATGGCTTGAAACTCAGGTCAGGAGTATGTGCATGTGTGCCCAAGATCCCAAGGAGAAGGAATTGCAGCACGGTCATCCCCTCTGGGAGGTGATTTCTTGCTTTCTGTCTGTGTCTCTCCAGCAAGCACACATGCACTATTACAAAACTCTCTTAAAACAAAATAAAAAACAAAACAACAAAAAAACCCATAGTGCTCTCTCTGTAGGGCAGACCCACAGGGGATGGCTGCTGGTTGACATCCAGAGACGACCTTACCAGTGCTGGGCATACTTCATTTTTTAATTAGTTCTGGAATAAAGTCCCTAGGGTCACAGAGAATCTCATCAGAAAGAAAGGTCACAGCATATACTAACAATGATATGCCCAGCTACAGCTGTATCAGTTTTCCACCTTCAAACCTCAAACTGCCAGTGGTAGTTTCCTTGTTAGTTTGTTTCCTTTCTTCCTTTCTCTCTCTCTCTTAGTTCTCCCTTTCTTTTCCCCTTAATTCCTTTCCTTCCTTTTTCCTTTCCTCTCCTCTCCTTTCTTTTTTTAGTTTTGCTATAGTGAGCTCACCGAATAAACACAGAGAGGGAGAGAAAAAGTGAGAAAGAGCCCTCCCCGACAAGGCAGACTGCACTGTAATCCTTTCTCCTCCACTCTCCTCTTACAATTTTGGGCACACACACATGCGCTCTAGGCATGTTTTTCAAGCCACTGGGTCCAGGAATCAAACTGCATAGTTGGCCCTGTGGGATCCAGCTGCTTTAACAACCATGACACCTGGCTGGCCCTGCCAATAGTAGTTTTCTATTTTAAGAAACTGCTCTTAGAAGCCTCTGGTACTAAGTGGCTAAGAGAGAAGCAGTATGGCTAAAAAATAAACAACTCCATCCCAATATCTCCATCATAGATACAACAGATGCAATCAAGGACTATTTTTGTTCAATGTTGATGGGCTTCAGTTCCCCTTTCCAGCAAAACCACACCTCACCCGTACCACTGCTCCCTAGTTAATTCATACCACCTCCATGTACCCCCCTACTCTGTCCCTTCCATTTTCCCCATTCCAGACACCCTCCAATACACACAAAATGAGGCTACCTAGACATTTTCTATTTCATCACAGAATGAGCTTTAGTAGCAAAAGGAGCGACTCCTATCAACAAGTCCTAAAAGAGCCATGACATCTCTTCAATTTACAAAATGACCATGAAAGGCAAGCCTTTGTCTGTCACCCTCACCCCAAAGTACCTAAAACAAGTTTGCCCTGAAGTTACTACCTCACTAGCACCAAGTCCCTAAAGAACGGAGAGTCATCGGCCAAACCCTTAACCATCACCTAGTGGTTAAGGGACCTGGATCTCATACTGCCAACAACCATTCCAGTCCTGGCACCTTGAGAAACATGCCAGGAACGTGTGCATGCATGCCCAAAATCCCGACAGGATGGAGAAACGGAGGAGACAGCTTGAGGTGTAACCACACCCCACTGGGAATACTTTCCCCATCTCTCTCTCTCTCTCTCTCTCTCCATCTCTCTGGTGAACATTTGTACCTTCCCTCTGGCAACTAAAAAATGTATTTTTTCAAATAAATAAAAAAAGGTACAGAGTAAGTACAAGGTCAGTAAAAAGAGACTGATCACACCTCCCAATAAATATTACCACAAAAGCATAAGGCAAGGTAGCTTTCCACAGCAACTTAAAAGTTTGTTTCCTTGGTTACAAAATTAGCAGGTGTCTGATAAATAAATGCAAGGTAAAATGTCTATCATGCTACTTTAAAAAAATCCACCCAATTTTTTGTTAACACTAGCACTTTATAAATGCTGCCAACAAATTCAGATAAAATGCAGGGGGAGGGAAGGGATTTCCTAGACATACACCTTAAATTAACACTAAAAGTAGGGAGTAAGTCTGTAACTCACTTCAAGAGCCCTAGATGGTTACTTGGGTCATGATATGATCTATTCATATCCAATTAAATTCTTTACCCAATTATTTCTGGTAGCCAATAAGTCTTCCAACTACACTATTCAATTTATCTAAAAAGAATTACCCAGGATGCTCTCTTAAATATGGCTAGCTTCCTTAGAAAAGGGGCTGTTT